CTCCTGGGCTTGGGGCAGCATCGGGGAGCGTGGAGAGGCTGCAGCTCGGGGTGAGGCCCGAGGGCTGGTCACACAGATGAAGCTGGCAAGGCTCTCTCCCCACCTTCCTGCCTCCTCCCTTGCCGGGGCCTTGCCCCCGCTCTGAGTACATCTCACCTTCTCTCAGCTTATCATCAGTGTTCTCATATATGAGTTTTTCTGTGAGTCTTTCCCCCCTGTCTCTGTTTCTACCTCTTTATTTTTTTCCTGTCTTTCTACTTCTCTTTATCCGTGGTTTTGATCAAAACAATTTTTAGGGGCACCTGGGTGGCTCAGTGGGTTAAGCCTCTGCCTTCGGCTCAGGTCATGATCTCAGTGTCCTGGGATCGAGCCCCACATCGGGCTCTCTGCTCAGCAGAGATCCTGCTTCTCCTTCTCTGCCTGCCTCTCTGCCTACTTGTGATTTCTCTCTCTGTCAAAAAAATAAAATCTTTAAAAAAAAAAAAACAAAAACCAAAAAACAATTTTTAACGGGTCACACAAGAGCTGAATAATAGACCTTTATGTATTTGCAGAATTTTGTGTTCTCTGCCTTATACAAGAACAGGCAGGTAGGAGGAATGTTTCCTATTCATCTGGAAAACAAATATAGAGTGGGTTTTCATATATATGATCCTTGATTGATTCCCACCATGGCATCTCCCCCAAATCCAGAAATTGGGGACCAGCAGTAGAATAAAAGTCCCAGCCTAGAGCTCCTAGCCTAAAGCAAGAGAGGACCTGTGGTTGTTGCCTGATATGTAGGTAAGGGCAAGAAGCATGATGGCAGGGAGCATGCAAAGGTCGGGGGGGGGGAGTGAAATCTGGGTGTATGGAATGGAGATCCCAGTTAGTAACCGCCCACTCACATGGTATGACTTTCCATGATGGTCTCTGCCACTTTTTGGCCCTTGCCTCGACCCTCCCTGAGTGAACTGCTCCCCCAGGACCTGAGCTCACCTGGTGTCGGACCCCTCCACACCTTTGCTCTTGCAGCTCCTTCTGTCTGGCACGCCTGGGCCACCCCAGACTCTGTTCACCTGGTCATCACCTGCTCATCCATTGAAGTTCTCCCTGATCCATGGAACCAGCTAGAACAGGCTCCTCCTTCATGCCCCACAGTGACCAGAGGTGGGGTCTCAGTCCTCCTGGTTCCCTAGTGCCCAGCACAGTGCCTGGCACATAATAGGTATTCAATCAACACATGTTAGTAAAAGGAAGAAGGATCCCATTCCAAAAGTCTATCATCTTTTGTCTCCCACGTTAGCAGAATATTATCCCAGAATATTATCCAAGCGGTTAAACCTGGCCCTAGTTCTGATGTTCCCTCCCACGTTTGCTCTCCTGCTTGAAGGCCTGCCCCACGTGCCCTGCACACACATAACCCACCCACTGTCCAAGGTTCCCTCCCAGTGCAGCCTTCTGACTCCCCACCCCAGTAGGAAGAGACCTGTCCTTCATATGAGCAAGCAGCTACTTGGTCTGTTGTTACCTTACTCGGACCTCTCTTACGGCTGTTTCTACTCCCCGGTGTTAGGCACACACAAGGCTTTCCCGCTAACCCACACAGTGAGCCAGCCCCAGAGGGTGGGGCCTTCCGTGTGACCAGATTCAATGAGTTAGTTAAGGCATGTCTGCCATCCCTTGGGAGGAGAAAAACCAGAACTGCCAGTCCTGCAGGGTGACGGGAAGGGGGTGGAGACTCAGGGCCCAGCCTCCCAGTGTGGCGACGTGGTGCTGGGCGCAGGCAGTCACTTGTCCCCAGCAACATGGGATCAAAACGTTACACTACCTTGTAGGCCAGTGGGTCTCTCGGTCCATCTTCGCCTTTCCCAACACTTAGCTCTGACTGCTTGCAATTAGAATCTGAGAGGCAATCTAAAAGAGTCAAGCTGCATTAGGGAGAACCCTAGAAAAACTGCAGGGCACAGCTTGTCTCGTAGGGGGTGGTTCAAATGGCAAAGGTTGGTTCCTTCACCTACTGAGCTGGGCCTTACTGAGGAAATAAGATCAAGAAAGTGGTGTTCGTCTTTAGCATTTATTTATACTTGGAAAAAAAAAAACTGTTTGTTTGTTTGTTTGTTTCCGAACAAGCACAGACCACAAGCACGTCACAATCAATTGGCTATACATGAATATTTGTTGTCATTTTCGTACTAACAGCAGGAATGAAATAGCACCAAGAGAGGTGTGCGCTACACATTACATAGACAATCTGTGGTATGCAACAAAACCCAGGCCACAAAATCGTAATTAGATACTTCCTGTCTGCCTTGGAGAGGCAAAGATAGAACGGACCGGTTGGAAGCACCAGCAAGTAACAAAAAACTGGGGGAGCCAACGCACAGCCTTAGGGGTTATTTTTGCAGGCAAGCAAAGCAGACACTAGGAAAGCTTCAGGCCTTGCTCTCTTGCCAGGGGAGCTCAGGGATCGGTAGGAAGATATAAAAAAATGGACAGCCAGGCATTGGAAGCTTGGTCATCTTCAGAAAGGCAAAACGGAAACACTGTTTGTGAAACCATGATCAGTTTCAATCAGGACGTTTGAGATGCAGACAGAATGAGACTGGCTGAGTTTTATTTGTAAACAGTTGAAATCAAAGGAAGTTTCTTGCCATGAAATGACACATTCAAGAGTCAAAGTGAACTACAAATAAGAATTTTCCCAGTTGCAGGAGTTAAAAAGATGGGGCGGCTGAAGGGTTGAAAAGACATTATACGGGATCACATCTCAAGCTGCAGGCAGGACAGGGTTGGAAATTCAGTCCCTGGAGCTGCGAGGTGGGTGGGAAACCACAGTTTGGGTGAACAAACTTGAATCAGACACAGAGATCAAGTCGTATGGATCCTTCTGGTTGTGCTGTTGTGGACACAGGTGTATGCATAGTGCCCCGCACATCTCGCACGGTGTCTGGCCCACAGGCATTCAGGACATGAATGTGGAACGAATGTTCCCCTGTGGATCGTGCACTTTGATTTACTTGATCTGCAGAACACATACACGACTGTTCTACGGAGAAATCCAAACTTCAGTTAACACCAACGGGCCTGACCGATGCCGGACCTCGAGACAACGAACGTCCATCGGCAAATTCTCTGGGTAGAGTTAAGCTCGTATTGATAGAGCTCTCTGGTGAACATTAAGATTAGCCATCGAATAGCTACGATCAGTACTGGGAGCTATCCTGGTCATTTCCAGACAGGCATCCCAAACTGGGATGCTCGAACACTGAAACTCACTCATATTTTCTACCTTCTTCCAAGCTTCTTCTCAGCTACACGCTCTGAGATAGAAAGGAAGATGACAGTGGGCCTGGCCGAGAGCCTCATTTCTAGGAGTCCCGTTCTCTTAAAAGATGTGGCCCACAAAGCACACGCTCAGTGAATTTGCAGAAGACTTCTCAGTCAGCCCCAGGGTGACTAACAAAATGGTGTCAACAGAGACTTTGCTGCTTGAATGGTCAGACAGGAGAGGACTGGGGGAGGCCCTGCTTCCTACACACCACAGGGACCGAAAGGGAGTGCCGCGGTGAGGAGCCTGGGACCCCGCTCACCGCAGCTGTCCTTCCACAGCAGGGGCGTGGCACCGGACCACAGCCCAGCCGCGTCACGGTGCTGGCAACAGAAAGGGCTTCAAGGACAGGGCAACAAAGCAAACTGAGCAATGTACACGCCACAAGGTTTGCAAATGTAATTTTTCTGGTAGGTATCTTGGGTGTCCTAGTGAGCACTGGGGGTCTTTGTACAACTCTCTAATACCTACAACACAACTCTAGCACAACTAAGGTGCCACTTGCCGCCCCCAGGGGGCGTTGGCCACACAGACACATGAAACACAATACAGTGAGAGCTGCTTTTACTCCTCAGTGAGGTCAGAAACGCTTGCTAATCACTTAGTAAGGAACTCTCCTAATCTTCAGCTAAGTCACAGACATTTCCACTAACCTGAAACTCAGTGTCCTCTGCCCTCTCTGAGGAACAGAGCAAGCAGTGCGGGAAGGGAGAGTGAACACCGCCACACTTGCCACGATGTCGACTTCCCACCTTGCGTTTCTCAGAAGCAAGGAAGCCACATTCTAAGTCCACTACCCCTACCCCCTGAACTTTCCTCCTCAGTCATCTGTGGCCAGCTGCTCTGCCAGACCGCTGGCACTGGATGGGCTGAGGGCACACAGAGGAGAACAATCTCCTCACACCGGTGGATCTCTCCATGATGTCTACAACGTACCTAAAACACCGAACCTTCTTACCCTGGCCTGCTTTTAGTCATCAGTGGCCTAGCTATTACTTGGCATACAATTTCAAGTCCAGTGATAGGAAACTAAACATAGTCACACATTTCTAACAGAAAAGTCTATGAAAAAAATGACTTAACAGACACGATTCATCTTATGGACATTAAGGCCGAGGTTTTTTGCTTTTTAAATATTTCCACAAATGCCGTCGACCGCTGAAGCCCCAAAGCGAGCTTCTCTAGCACATGATAACCCGCTGAATTTTGGAAAAGGACACATTTACCTACAGTTCAGAGCGGATCACTGACACAGACCTTGGAGGAGAAGAGGAGGAGGGCACCCTACGGGCATTCCCGAGCGTACTGGGAGACTTCCAGCCGCTGGGAATGGCCTCTGCGTGCCAAGGCCTGCCTCCCTCCCTCCGCAGCCAGCAAGCAGTCTCACCTGCTGTGGGAGGCACAACCAGGGAGCTATGCTTCCCGGGGTTCCTGGTGTTCCAGGGGCCCCGTGGCATGGACCACTGCGCTGCGCTTAGCCCAGCAAGGTCTCAATTTGGAGAGGAAGCATGCCACTTGGGCTTGGAGACGGCATTCCTCCATCGAAAGAAACCAAACCGAAGAGCTCCTGGAACACTCAGGACCAAGGCAGATGAGAAACCTCTAAGCAATTTTGTGGCCTTTTTGTTGGTTGGTTAAAAAAAAAAAAAAAAGGAAAAGAAGAATAAAAGGAAAGTGCAGTGAAATTTACTCTTTAGCCTCAGCCAGTTTATTGTTCATCTCTTTACTTTGCTCCTTGTCTTCGGGTTGGGCGGCAGTGGGGCCCTCCGGGCTCTTTTTCTTGGAGGCCCGGCCCGACACCACCTGCTTGTCTTTGGCCTTCCTCGGGGGCTTATGGCTCGCTGAGGTCTTTTTTGGTTTGGAACTCTGAACGCTAGGTTTCTCCACCTGCTCAGAGAGACAGACAGACAGACCGCAAATACAGAAACACAGAAAGGGAGGGAGTGGGAGAGAGAAGTTAGAGAGAAGACATGATTAGCTCGACGGTAACCGTCATGACACCTGATGGCATCTGAAGTATTTTCAGTGACTCAGATCATTTGGCTTTGGAACCGGATGGTCAGGGGTTTTGGCCACAGGCTCACCGGCCACAGGGGCTCCCTGGCCTGGCGGCTGTCACCACGGAACGACCGTGGTGGCAGATGGTGTGGCTGTTTTGCCGATACCTGCCGCCTCTCCCCATGGGAAGATTGTACCTCATTACTCTGTTCAACTCGGGCAGGCCTAGGATTTGCTTTAGTCAATGAAATGTGAGCAGAAGGGATGGGGTCACCTCCAGAGGAAACTGGAGGGCCAGCCGGTACTTCCCCCTAGCTAGTTCTCTGAAAACTAGCTCTCTTCTCCTCGGCCACAAGAGAGGCTCTCCGTCACCCGAGGGCCACACTGTAGAGGCAGCGAGGAGTAGGGCTGCGGCCCCCTCCACATGCTGGACAGGTTTTAATGAGAAATAAACCTTTGTTGGTAGAAGATGCAGAGATTCGGGGGCGGTATCACCACCGACCATATAACCTGGCCTTTCCTCTGTTTCTGTCTCCAGGAAGGTGAGCTCGTGTGGAGAAATGGGCCAGGCAATCTCACCTCAGAGAGGCCTTCACACTGCCCTCCATCCACGCTTCCTCTCCTGCTGGCTCCCAGGACTCTCTTCCCCAGAGCAGCCCATCCACTCCCCCCAGACCCTCACCTCTAACTCTGCCCCCTCACTCCCAGGAGATGGCCCGGCCCTCTCTCTCCCTAGAACTCTGGGGTCACTGTGTATGGTCCCTCGATATGCCCTCCATCTCTGGGTTCACCTTCCCCAAACTTCCCTCCTTCCTTCCCTTGAGTCTTCTTTTGTACAAAGTGGAAGATGGCCAAAGATGCTGTTGGGCCTCCCAGGCTAAGACATTCACTCAGGGAGCTCCAGGGAGCTTTTCAGTCACCTCTGACCTGTACCTCCGGTTTGCCCGGGAATGAGGGCTTTCACGGAACATGGAACTCTCAGTGCTCCAAGTGGAGGAGTCCAGTCAAGCTGGCTTAGTTCCCACTTTACCTAGAATTTAGTCCAGGGCCAAACAGGAAACTATTTCAGTGCAAGATTTTCAGACAAAAGCAGAGGAAAGGCTCTCACACTTTTCCTGCTCTTATACATAAAAGGGGATATTTGCACAACCCCATGTGGCTTGACTTCACAGAATTAGCCTTGGCGGTTATGATTCCTGCTTCCAGCTGAGTCTCCAACTCAGTTCTCCCCCTCACAAGTGTGTACTGGGATGCAAATAAGGCAAAGTACTGTTATTAATGGAAATCCCTGAATCCACTGAAAGTTACTTAGAAATGTAAATCATTCACAAACTGTCTATTACAGTAACAAATGACCGGGAATACATCTTACAGCTGATGAGACAGGTGCTCTGAGCCGATGGTGCCTAGTGTTTATGGAGGAAAAGGATAAAAAGGAGTAAGTTGAAAAAAAAAAAAAAAGGAGTAAGTTGTCCACAGATTGGAGCCGAGGATGCTGGCAGGAGTAGGGTGGGAGGAAGCCATCGAGACACCTCCAATGGCCAGCACTTCAGGGGCAAAAGCAGCTGTTTTAAGAAGGAGGGACTGAGGGCTCAGATGAGGTTTTCTGCCACTTTTTTGGGGAATGGTTTTAAAATCTAGAAGCTAGTTCTCTGAAAACCGGCCAGTCCTCAAGCAGTTTTATTTTAGGCACTGTTCCTTTTTAACATTTCCTTTGAATTTAGCCAAGGTTCCTGTTCCCTGGTCTCTGTGCCACCAAAAAGAGGAGGAATTTCCCAGGAGCCCTTGGGGGTGGGGCCAGGTGGGCAGTAGCCCCACCCTCACACTTTGCTGCCCTTAAGCCCTTGTATCTAGGTTGTGCTGAGGGGTTCCCCACAAGATCTAGCTCACCTTTGGGGGTTCCTTGAAAGGTTCACTGTAGAGGCTGCGTATTCTTCTGCGATCAATGACCTTATTGTCCGCTGGTGTGGGCTTGTTGGCCTCCCCTTTGAACTGGGCACTGTAGCTGGTCTCGTGAGCCATCTTATCATCTGGAGGCTTGTACTGGGGCCTGGCTTTTATCGGTTTCACAGGCTTGATATCCGTCCATGCTCTGAATTCATTTCTGTGAATCAAAGAAAGCATAAGCGATATGAAACACTATCTGGTGGGACGAACAGGGCTGCAAACACAGCAAAGCTCTCAGCGGGGCTCACTGCTGATGGAGGGGTGGCTCAGCAGTGAACTTCCCTGTCTCCTCATGGGGAAGCTCGTGGTTTCCTTCCTGCTGCGTGGGTACAGGCTGCGGCAGTAGCCCTTGTAGGAAGACGGAGCTCAGGCTCCCAGCTACCACTGTGTGATCATAGAGAGGCAATTCTAATCTCTGGGCCTTGTTTTTGCACTATCTCAGATGAGGCTGAAAACACTCAATCCACTCCATCATGCCAGGGTTCAACCTCTAGGACTGAATGCCTGGCACATGGGAGGTCAAGAGTGTGAGAATGAGACGTGTTAGAAGGTGTGTCTGGTATGCCATGGTCAAGGACCGAGGCCCCTCCCCCACATTGTCATGCTGAGACCCTTTGTCCTCAAGGATAATTCCTCCTCCTGCTAGCAGAGGGCTTGCTTCTTATGTTGCCAGAAATTTAACAGTCTTAATCCCTGTAGATGAAAACACTCATGAGATGTCTAAATGCTTGCAGATACAAACAAGCAAAATGTACCAAACACAGGTGGAGTCACTGTTAGGACAGGTATTGCGGTGAGTGCACGCAGGACAGTCTTCAAGTGCTCTGGTGTGAATGGCTATCGGGCCTGACCCTTTAATGGCTACCACCTGCTGCTCTTTCCTGAGTCAGTGTGTCCATGTTCTTATTGTGGCTCCTAACCAGCTGTTTCTGATCTGTTACAGGGCTGGAGATTAGATGGGGACAATGTCTGAAGCAGGGTCGAGTACATGCGGCTGCTCATAGAGGCCATGAGGTCCATCCTGTTTGTTGAGTGCATGACATCCGACGGATCTGTTCCCACTGGGGGCCACGAGAAGCTGTGTTGTGGGAAAGGAAGAGGTAGGGTGTATGTAAGTGCGGCTAGGTTCTTCCAGCGCCCTCGTCACCCTCACTGATGAGGCCTTCCTTCGGGGCTCAGAGACGAGTGGCACAAACAGGAGGGATGACAGAAAGAGCTGAGGCTGTGAGAATCCTGCGGTCCCAGCCCCACCTCTAAAGAGCTGTGGGGCAGGCCCTTCCCCTCTTTGAGTCAGTCAAAAAAAGACTCAAACCAGACAATGTCTTTATCATATGACCTTCTAGCTCAGAGGGTCTCTGAGTCGATCAAGCTGGTTTGGTTAACACGGAGCCCCTTGTTGGTCATTTGACCTCCTGAGGGGAAGTGGCTCATTTGTGAGGAGAGAGACCACAGTTTCTTAAGAGACTGTCCCCCCCCACCACCCAAGCTTCAGACTCACCTTTCCAGTGCATCTTGGACCCCCACCTAGGAGCCCCACCAACTCAAATTCAACATCCCTAGAACCAAAGCATCTTATCTCCCCCACCAAATTGTCTTCATTCCCTCATCATTCAATTTATTTCATTCATTCATTCACAACACATTTCCTGATTGCCTAGGGACTCTCTGGCAGGATGCTGAGCTCTGTGGAGCCAAACTCAGTAAGAGAAGCCCTGGGCGCAAGAGGGAATGAGATTTGTCCAGGACGGTAAGAAAAGAGCCATGAAAGAGGGGGGAGTGGGGAACACAGCCTATGCCAGCCTGGGAGGGAGTCGGAGATGTGGGTTCTGGAGCGGAGTCAAAGACGGGATAGGGAGCTGGCCAGGGTTCCAGGCAGAATGAGGGGTACCCGAAGAGGCAGCTGAGATATGGCCCTCTGCACGCAGTTTGGGTGGTTGGGCTGAAGCTTTTGGGGAAGAGCACAGGAGGCTGGACAGATTGTGAGGTCCTGCCAGCCATGCTGAGGGGATGGTCTGGACTGTATCGAGGAGCTGCCAGATGGTTCCAAGCCAAAGATGAATGTGGCCAGATTAGTTTGGGGAGAGAGAACTCTGGCAGCAGTGTGAATGGTGCACAGACGGGGCGAAGTGAGTGGGGAGGCCAGGCAGGAGACTGTGAAGTGAGCCCGGAGGAAGACAGAGGCCTGAACCAGGACAGTGGCAGTGGGGACTGAGAGTGGCTCCAAGTCAAGAGGGAAGTGGGCAGGACTTAAAAGCGGCTGAGCCGAGGGAGGCCAGGGTCAGAAGGGAATCTGGAGATTCAGGATTTTGGTTTGTGGATGTCAGTGCTACCCACTGAGTTGGGGAAACTGGGAGGAGAATGGGACTTGGAGGGTTGAGACCCTCCGATTCTGTTAATGGCCCCCATCTGCTCTGGCCTCAAGGCTGCATTATATCTTTTCCTGTGCTCTCCTCGACCCTTTTACACTTCCGTGGGTTCAACCAGCTACTTCGACCTGACTTCTGAGCCATTCTTGGCTGGGCTGGGTCACACCGGGCGCTGTGGCCACCATGACCTGCCCAAGGCTCCAGGCTCCCCCTCCTTCCTCCCACCCTTTAGGACCCGAGTATTGCCAAAGTCCCTTATACGTGGCTTACTGGTAACGACCTGGTTCCTGAATATATGAGGGCAGAACCCTGAGTTTTCTGCTCCTACTTCTGCCTGCTTCCAGAATAAGGACTGACACAGGTCTACACTGGCCCTGAGAGCTATTTCTGGATCATCTCTCCCAGGCTAGCCTCTGCAGTTTTCTACATCTCTGGCCTGGCCTCTGGGCTGGCAGGCATTTCACGGTGAGCATTATCCGTGGGACCTGTCCTCGTGGGATCAGTCTGGTGACCCCGATCATAAACAACTGATCTTTATATGAAGCCACGTAGAGAGTTCCATGATAAGGTCACTGCAATTAGGACAGACAGTTCAGCTGAAACCCAAATTCTGCTACTTAGAACTTTCTTCAAACTCGCCACAAAACCTTCCCCAGCCACAAGCCGTAACTAAGCATCTGTCACACAAGTAGAATCAGCTACCATTCATTACCCACCTTTTATAAGCTGGAGGATTGTTTTGGGTTTGCTTTGGTATATTATCTGTAACCCTTACAACAACTTTGAGAGGTGGTCGTATTGTATCTCTCTTACAAAAGAAGGTAACCCAGGCTCAGAGGGGTTAGGTGGCTTGCATAGGCCAAAGAGCTGGCAAAGAAGCAGGACTGAACTATGAGCCCGGGTCTGCAAGGCCCCACGGCCCACATCCTTCCACTACACTTCTCCCATGTGTCGGCGCCGTAGTGTGTTTGGCTCACTGGAGGGGCCTGTGCAGCTCAGGCCTGCTGAGTGCAATGCAATGGAGGGTTTGGTGACACAGCTGCACGAGATGACCCCTGAGCTCCTCCAGCCCTGAGATGCTCCTCCCAGAGCAGCATGGGCCACGCTCTCAGCTCAGTCACGACCACAGCCTCTTGCTACCAGCCCGTGGTCCCCTATATGCATAGACTCCCCTTCCCATGCAGCTGGATTTCAGCTCGATGGTTCATTCCTTTAATCATTTGACATTTACCAAACACCAGCCATGGGTGGGGCGTGTGTCCCACAGGGCATGTGACCCAGTGGCTGAGGTGGCTACAGTTTAGTAGGTCAGGATCTGTCCGTGTGTGATCCTAAGCAAATGGGACAGAAGGACAGAGGGAAAAGGATACTTAATTTTCAAGGGGGCACTAAAAGATGGAGACAGAGAAGTGGACAAAGGGAATTCAGGCAGCACTCTGAGTCCCTGAGGCAGGTTCAGAGAGCAGGTGAGCTGCTCAGGGTGTGGAGGATGGGGTCCTTGGAAGGATGTCCAGGTGACCAGGCTAGGTGGGAGCTGGGGCCAGGATTACAGGGCCTGGAAGGCTTTGTTTACATGCTTGCAGTCAGCCTGGGGAGCTGCTGAACGTTTCTGAGCGAAGCAGCACTGTTCCTCCATTGACAATGCCCTCCTCTCAGACTGCCCCACTTTTCTTTATTCTTCAAGGCCCAGCTTGGGGCTCTTCTCTTTCAGGACTCCCTCCTGGATTTCTCAGCCCAAAGTTTCCTCTCTCTTGCCTCCTGGATGCTTTACTACCTTGTCCAACTTTGTGGTGACCCATGCAGTTTCACATTGCTCTTTAATTATTTTATGAGTTCACGTTACCTCTCCTGAGGGATGAGATACATAACAGAAAATTCCAGACAGAACCCTACTTTTGAGTCCAACCTCATCTGCAAGGCTGTGAAGGGATATCCTTTAACTTACCCTATGTCAAACTGTGGGTTAGGGGCAGAGCTGGGTGAGAAACCCCCTGGTCTCTACCTGCTGTGTCAGGCCCTGGCCCTCACCCAGGCCCCCACTGAGAGCCGTGTTCTATATCTTTCTCACATTCTCCACGGGACTGAAGGGCTTGGCATTGAGTGACTATTTCATGGAATTAGCTCTTATTTGATCTCCTTTCTGGTCCTTTCTTCTTGTAGGAAAGAGTTGTCCATACTAAAGCAAGCATCTGGTGTCTCCCAAGCTTTCGTAAAATCCACCCTCCCTAGATTGACAGGAGGCTGCCCAGAGCCCCCAGTGAGTGAAGCCACCATGGTGGCAAAGGGTTGGGGGCAGGAAGGAAGCCCTGACAATCAGGGAGCAGGTAAGGAAAGGAAGAGTTTGCTAACACTTCCCAATGCCCACTTCCTTTAGGCTGAACTCTCTGTGCATCCAGCCTTAGTTTACCCTTTCATCATCCCTGTGAGGTTGCTGTTATTAGCTCCATGTTATATATGAGGAACCTGAGTACAGACAGGTGAAGAGACTTGCCAAGCCAGTAAGCCGTTATTGGACCATGAGTCTGTCTGTCTCAAAGCCCATGCCCCTTCTGCCATCCCACACTTGCGGGTGGATGTGTAACCCAGCCGCAAGCTCATGGCAGCTTCGGCTCCGGGCAGCAATCACAAGACAGCACTTCCCTTCAGCCAGTCTGGGTGCCCCAGTGAGGCTGTGAGTATACGGGAGGGTCCCATATCTACTGGCTGCTGCCCCTGGCATCCCAGAGAGTCTCCCCATGCCATGGTTCCTCCTGTATCGTGATCCAGGGAAGCCATGGGGATGGGATTTCCA